AATGAATAGACCTAAAGTATCTTCTGGTGAAGTTGGCTATGAATAAATCAATTTGCCATCTAAATCTACCAGCTTAATAAAATGACAACATTCTCAAAAATTAGCCCCCAATGTCATCTAAAACAGGCCTGTTCTCAAGTGAATAGGACCACTGATTAGATTTCCCCAGTAGCAATGTGGCCCTTGTAGCAATTCCCTCTGGTGCCTAAACTAACACAGAATACGGACCATGGAATCATGAGATGCCTGCTCAGGAAGTAGCCTTTGAAATTAGCTCGTCCAGCTTCCTTCATTTTACAAATGGGCTGAGTCCAGGGAGGTTAATTATTATAACTTATTCAAAGTCACAGAGAAGCAAAGCTGACATCAGAACCTAAGTTTTCATTTGTAAAATAGTTTCTGCATGCTGATTTTTCCCCCCTCAAGTGCTAAGCTGGGATCACTGTGGTAAGTGTATTCAAATCTCTCTCACTTTGCAGATAAATGGGTCCCTTAAGAAATACTGTTTGAGGGTGAATATTGTTAAGAATGGAAATTAAACTTCTGCTTAAGTTTACAAGTACACATCTGGGGGGGGTGCACATTTCTTCTTGTTTTTCTATTTAATTATACTGTTTACAATAGTTCTTTTAAGATATAGATCTCTCCAAGAATAATCATTTACAAATTAATCATTTACAGCAAGTGAACTGGCTAAGTCTTGTGTTAAGTCAGCCAACCCTTAAGCAAATTTCAGAGATAAGAATGTATTTTAAACCTTGATTTCAGAGTGAAAAATCTCAGGTTCTTGAGAACTACTAGGGTTAGAAAATTCCTTTGGAAAATGGGCTGTTGTCCAATCGCAAAGGGTTGCTGAAAATTTCATTTTTGAGAGAAGAGTTTCTTTCCTCTTCATTAGAAATGACAAGTCTGCAACACCATGTTTCTTTTCTTAATAATACAATCCTGCAACCTCTTATCTGAAACCAACCCCTGAGGTGAGATGTGTCTGGAATTTGTCAGAGTTTTGAGAGTTAATACACCACATACACTAGCTATTCTAAGTCATGCCTAGTGAGGTCTGGGGCCATACTCCATAAGCAAGTATATTTATAGTTTGCAGGAAAACATAAATATTCCGATGAAGCAAGACTGTAAATAGTCATGTCAATTTAATTTAGGTCAATTTTACTACTAAAAGTGTTGCTTTTGAACTTTAGATTTTTCAGATATTCAGAATTTTAAAGTTCTAGATAAGGGAGTATAGGCCTGTAATGGTTTCCCCAGCATGTTTTTCTTTACTACATGAATCCCTCCCGCCCCAAAAAAAGCGTGTGTCTATAATGTCTTCTTAATCTACATTCAACTCCCATTTTTTTTTAATTTATTGGAAACTACTCATTCTATTAATTTCAGAGACACATTAGCTACGTTTGGTTCTGATCTTGCTTTAATTCTGGCTTTCTTGGTGGGCAAGGTTTTCTGAGATTCTCAGGGATGGCTGGAGGAATGAACTGCTTGGGTGTTCTATCATGGATGTTATCTCTGCAGTGGACTTGGTAGGATGACTTGCTTTCCACCAGCCTTCTCATCCCTGTGTATAACACAGTGCACCTTTGCCATTTTATTTTTGTTTACTACAGGTTTCTGAGGCTTCCCTGGTGTATCAGAAGGTAACGAATCCGCCTGCAATGCGGGACACCTGGATTTGATCCCTGGGTTGGGAAGATCCCCTGGAGGAGGGCAGGGCAACCCACTCCAGTATTCTTGCCTGGAGAATCCCATGGACAGAGGAGCCTGGCGGGCTGCAGTCCATGGGGTTGCAAAGAGTCACGACTGAGCGCCTAAGCACAGCACAGCACAGGTTTCTGTACCTGAAAAATACTATTACATTATAAAAAATTATATATAATATATATACTATAAAAAATTATAGTAATTGCACATGAAGAGAGGATAGAGAAGAACATGAAGCTCAACTTGGTCCTTGTAGAAGAAGTTTGGCTCAGTCTGGTTAATGCCATACTAGTTGTCAAGGAAAAACACTACTTTCTTCTCTTCTTATATCCTTAAATCTGTAGCCTGATAGATATTATTCCTCTAAAAATCAAAACTTGAAAACTTACCCAGGATAAGAAAAACACACAACTGTAGCTAGAAAGCCACCTAGGAGGGAACAGAATCCTCCTGGTATAGATGATGTGTGTGCTCAGGCGTGTCTGACTCTTTGTGACCCCATGAACTGTAGCCCGCCAGGCTCCTTTGTCCACGGGATTTCCCAGGCAAGAATACTGTAGTGGGTTGCCATTTCCTCCTCCATGGGATCTTCTAGACCCAAGGACTGAACCTGCATCTCTTAAGTCTCCTGCATTGGCAGGTAGATTCTTTACTACTGTGCCACCTGGAAAGCTCATAGGAGAGGGTGCATTAGTATAAGTAATATCTATAGAACCTGAATTGTAGAGAGGAGCAACTAGCAGAAACTGCCAAAGACACCAAAAAGGGTGAAAAAACATAAATAGAAGATAGGAACAGAGATACTACAGCTTTATTTTTTTTTTATTTTTTTATTTTTATTTTTTTTTGATACTACAGCTTTAAAAACAGTAACTTATTGCCTGGTACAGTTATAAAAGCTATCCACTAATACAGTTATTTCAGAAAAACAAAATTTCATATGAAATGCTACTAAAATACCAAAGGCCATACATAATGTCTGACCCATGCTGCCACCTCATATAGCAAATTCTTACAAGGGAGCTTTAAAAAGATTGTTTGACTGGTCCACTGTCCTACAGTGTCAGGAGACTGCTTTGTCTCAGATATTAAATTTCCAATGTCTCTCACACTTCCTCCTTTTCCGATGCACAAAAGGTTTTTGTAAAGTTTCTCTTGGTTTTACTGCTGGCAGCTACAGAGGGCACACCATATGCTTGGTGTAGTGTTATGGGGTGGGATTTTATTTGACCAGTGTCTTCAGAACTCCTGGATTAAACAATTTTTTTAAATTAGAGTATGAAAGTGTTAGTTGCCCAGTTGTGGCTCAGTCCTGTAAACTCTTTTGCAACCCCATGGACTACTGTAACCCGCCAGGCTCCTCTGTACAGGGGATTCTCCCCGCAAGAATACTGGAGTGGGTAGTATTTCCTTCTCCAGGGAAATCTTCCCCACCCAGGGATTGAACCATGGTCTCCTGCATTGTATGCAGATTCTTTACTGTCTGAGCCACCAGGGAAACCTTATTAAAGTATAGTTGATTTAACATGTTGTGTTAATTTCTGCTATAAGGCAAAGTCAATCAGTTATACATATATCCGCTCCTTTTTAGATTCTATTCCCATATCCATATAGGTTATTACAGAGTATTGAAAAGTGTCCTATGCTATATACAGTAGGTTATTAGTTATGTACTTTATATATAGTAGGCTCCTCTGTCCCCATGAGATTTTCCGGGTAAGAATACTGGAGTAGGCTGTCATTTCCTTCTCCACGGATTTTCCTGGCCCAGGGATTGAACCCGAGTCTCCCGCATTGGCAGGCGGATTCTTTACCACTGAGCCCCACCTGGGAAGCCCATAGTAGTGCTATGTCAGCCTTCATTTCCCAATTTATCCACCCCCCCCACGTTTTAAAAAATGATTACGATCCTTTCCTTAAGAGTTGTTCAATGGAAATCTGTGCTAACTCAAACTCTTTACTGGACCAGTTATGTATAAGCTTCGCCCCCTTTTGTTGCATGTTCTGGCTGAAATCGTAAGAAGCAGCTCTTCTCCTGGTTCTGTCTTACTCCCCACCCTGGGCCCCTCTACTTCCCCCAGGAGCACCATTTCAGCGTATTCTTACCTGCCTAGAGTGAGTCCTGGCCTAGTACCTCGAAACTATCTCTAACTAACCGAGAACGACGCAGGACGGCAGGAACACGGACAGGGACACTGACCAGGGGTCCTGTGAGCCCTCGGAGGAAGCCCCCGACTTGGATCTGAACCCCAGTGGGCCCCTCACTGTACTCTCGGGAGCACCGTTCTGTCTTCCGTGTTAAACAAATAACCACCTCTTTATTTGCCTCACAAGGTTTGGAGGACTGGGTGACTTCATGGTCGTTTCTCATTACCGTCACCGAACCCCCAAACTGGCTGGCTGGGGGCGCGTCGTCCTGTAGGGGGCGAGCTCCTCCCACACTTTCTCGCGCGCCCGGACGGGCATCCCCGGAGGCTCGGGGGTGGGGGACGGCCAAGAAGGGAATCCACTCCTGGGATCCACTCCTGGGGTGGGGCGGGGACGGGGCAGGGGGAAGCCGGTGCGCCGCCCGGGAGGTGTCCAGAGCACCCCGCGCGCGAGTCCGGGCGCGGGGCAGGAGGGGGGCCCGGGACGCGCCCGGGAGGTCTGTTCGGCCGGCCCGGCGGGGCGCGCCATGGAACCCCGGCGCGCGCGGCTGGGCGCCCGAACGCCGAGACAATGCGGCGCGCGGCGGCGGGCGAGCAGCTCGGCGGGCCCGGGGCGCGCGCCGCCTTCCTTCCTGCAGGCTCGGCTTCCCGGCGGCGGCGGCGGCGGCGGCGGCGGCGAGCGTGCGGATTGGCGGCCCGGCCCTCCGCGCCGCCCCGCCCAGCGCCCGGCCGGCCGCCGCCCCCCGGCCCGGGCCCGCCCCTCTCTCCGCTGGAGTCGCTCGGGGCCCGCGGCTGGCTGGAGGGCACTTCCCGCCGGCTGTGCGCCTCCGCTTCGGGGACCGATCGCGAACGCAGGCGGCGGCGGCGGAGGCGGCAGCGGCAGACGGACGGACGGACGGGCCGCGCCCGAGCTGCGCGGCGCTGTGCGCGCGCGGCCCCTGCTCCCGCCGCCCGGCCCCGCGGGCGGCCCACCCGCGCCCTGCGGCGGCTCGTGCGGCTCCCGCGGCGGCGGCCCGCGCCCCGGCGCCTCCCTTTGTCCGCGGGCCGGCAGGAGGCGTCCGGGCGACCGATCGGAGCCCGCGCAAAGCGGCTGAGGCGGCGGCTGCCCCGCGGCCGGCCGCCCGCCGCGCCGAGGCGATGCCGGACCAGATCTCCGTGTCGGAATTCGTGGCCGAGACCCATGAGGACTACAAGGCGCCCACGGCCTCGAGCTTCACCACGCGCACGGCGCAGTGCCGGAACACCGTGGCGGCCATCGAGGAGGTGAGCGGCGCCCGCGGGCCTCGCGGGGCGGCCGGGGGCGGCTCCGGCCGCAGGTAGCGCCGCGCCCGGGTGCGTCCCCGCCCCCGCCTGCCCCCGCCCGCCCCCGCCCGGGCCCGGCTTCGGCATCCCGGGAAAAAGTTTCTTTCCCTCGGAATCCGGACTCGGCCGGGCAATCCCTGCCCGAAACAGAAGCCCTTTGTTCCAGGAGAAGGCTGCTGCTGCCAGGCTACCTTGGGCCTTTTTAAGACCACCCCCCGCCCCTTCCCTCCCCAGCCCCCCGCGGGGCCCCGGGCCGGACGGTTCATATTCCGTCCCCCTTGCCCGCGCCCAGCCAACTTTGGCCCGAGAGTCGGGGCGGTGGTGAGCGGGGAGCCCCCACCCTGGCCGTCGCGGCGGGGTCATCGGCTCGCCAGCGGGTCCCCGGCGCCTCCCCCCCCCCCACCCCGTCCCCAGCTTGGGGAATTGCCCGGGTGCCCAGCCTGCCCGGCGCGGTGCTCTGTGCCCGGGGCCCCGCTCTGCCGGACTCGAGGGCCGGTCCGGGGGACCCTGGCTGCCCAGGAAAGGTGTGCGCACCTTTAGCCAGGGAGGCCCGCCCGGTCCCGCAGCGCGCCCGGGGAGGAGTGCGGGAGCCGGGCTTCTGATACGAAGGACTTTGCTCCCCTCCTCTCCCCAGCCCCACCACCCCGGGATGTGTGTTCTTACCTGATCGCACCCCCCGGACGCCTCCCTTCCTCATCAGCCTGGAAAAGGCCTGATTTTAGGCAAGGTGCAGAGTCATCGTCTGCTGCTAACTAGGAAGCCCTCCACGTCCTGGGCGAGCGCACTTAGGACCAGCAGGCTTAGGTGACGGTCAGAACGGCCTGCTACCGAAGGGCAGGGTTTGGGAGGCCAGGGCCACCGCTGACTGTGGTTTGGGGCTTTTTCTCGCTTCTCTGCCCTCATTTACCCTTATCTGTCAGACGGGACGAGCAGTGCATCCTTTCCAGGGTGGTGATGAGGGTCAGAGACAACTGTGTGTCAAGTGCTTGGTTTATACTAAATAGGTATATACTAAAGGTAACTGGTTTACAAGCCCTACGGTGCCGCTATTGAATCGATGATCACCTTCTTTTCCACCACAATGTCAAGGTACATTCTTGAAATGGGGTATGGTAGGTATTTTAGAAGGAGAGGACTGGGCCTGAGTGAGTGAAGGGAGGTCACCAGAAGAGCTTAATTAAGCGATGGCATTCAGTTTTTTTGCGCACTTGAACAAAGCAGCTGCTGTTAGGAACTGCTTGGGAAAAAATAAATCCTGAATGTTTTCCCTTAATGAAAAAAAATTTCCTTTGTAGGCATTAACAGTCAATAATAGGCTAAATGAAAAGCAGCAGATTCAGCATTCTGAATGTTTTAAGTGTAGTAAGGGCATCCTCCACTCCCTCCTTCCTCGCCCCCCCCCTTTTTTTTTTTGGTGGAAGAGAGCTGCATGTAAACGTTTTGCAGTGAGCTGTGTGATCCCACATCACTTAATTCTCCTCTTATTAGCAAGGCTTCAAAATGATGCCTTCAAATTAGGCTGGTGGGGGATGAGCGTCAGAAGTTTCTTCAGAAGTGCTGGTTGAAAAGCAAGAAAAAAATTTTCGCAGTGTTTTGAAAATACATCATTAATAATGTTTATTGACTGATTGCAACCCAAAAGGTAGCTGAGTATGTTTTCAGGGAAGGGAGCTTTTATACACTATGCCTTAAAAAGAATTCTTTATTGTGCTTAAAGTTCTGTTTCTTTTCCCTACTGCAGTTTGTCGGTTAAATATTATTAACACTGGCAGATGTTGGAAAGTTAGGCAAACAGGAGTTGCTATTAAAATTGGCATACCCTTTCGTGATTAATGTTAGTTTGCGGTGTGTAGTTCCAAAGCTCTTTTAGTGTGCTGGGCAGATTACCCTAGAGCTCAGTTACTGAGTGGATGAAAGAGAGACCGGATTTGGTCATTTTATTAAACTGCAGGCTTGCTCCATGTTGTGTCTAAGAACACACACGAATTGGTTAAAATCTCAAAAAAAATAAATTACAGTCTGTCTCACTTTAAGCAGATCCAGTACACATACTGAGATGATGCCACATGTGAACTTACATTTATGAGAGAACTGAATTGGGAACAGTTTTATTTAACAAGTATGTCTTCATATTTTGATTTTAATCAAGCATGTGCTCTTCCTGCAGACAGTGGTTATTGGGACAGAGTTACTCATTTCACAGAAATAAATATAAAATTTGCAAGTCCATGGTCCTATGTTTAAACATATGTGTCACTGAATTAGTAAACTAATTTTGAACTGAGTAACCTTTGTGTATCTGTTATTTCAAGGATAGGCTATGTCTGCTAAAAATCATCCTACAACTGAAGTGTACTTTTTCTTTGATACGCATGCCTGTAGCTGGACTATCCTACCCGGTACTATGAACCTCTCATCTGTTGCATTTATTTCTCATTCTCGTGTTACACGTGAGGAAGTTGAGGCTTAGAAATGTTAATTTGCTCAAGGTTATAGAGCTAGTAAGTTGAAGAGCTGGAGCTTAAAGTGGCTCCATGCTGTTTTCAGAAATGATGCTGCTGTTTGTTACTTTCAGTAAGGCTGAATTCTCTAAATGACTCTTTTGTCAGATTGTCCAAGTTCAGATTCCACCACTGGCCAGTTGTGTGAACTTGGATGAGATGACTAATGTTTTCTCATTTGCCTTGATGTTAGTCTGGATAACAATACCTGTCTGCCTTGGAGAGGTGAGAGGGTTTAATGAGATAGTCCACAGCACAGTACCTGGTAGACAACCGGTGTAATACATGCTAATTGCTTTAACAGTTTGTATTTTAATTAATCCATAGAACCTGATGCAGATATTTGGCCCCAAAATGAGATTTACATGGGTGGGTTGATGTGGCCTAGGAGAGTAGGGGGAAAGGAATGGTTGAATGAGTAAGTGAGTGGAAAGCTACTACATGGCTGTTAACCATTGCTTTTTAACTGGTTTGTTGTCTTGGCAGCAGGTCAGCACAGCAGTGTTTTAAAATTTTCACTTGGTGATCTCTTGGTGAAGTAATTGTTTTGCACAGTTTTAGCCAAGTCTGGTGCTTCAATTGGGATCTGCCCTGTGTTTTTGGAAATAATGGAAAAAATCAGTAGTGACTGAATCTGAAAACCGCCCCCCTTTACTGTTTGTGGGGGTTTTATTGCTGTCTCACGTTCTTTTAGTCTCTGAGCTCTTTGAAATATTCTCAGAATAGGGAAAAGTTGTACATGTATGTGAAATGTTCATAGTTAGACCCTCCCTTAAAGCATCAGCCACTCTGTCGTGCTTATTTGGCTTTATCAGATACATAGTTTTAAAAATAAATTTGATGTTGACTTGTAAGTATTAAAATTCAATCTGCTTCCTTCCGGGCCATAGTTCTCCACTCTGTTGTCCTTGGTTGCCTTGGAAATCTCATTGCTGTCACAAGCACAGGGTTCTAACTGCAGGGAGAGAAGGAGCATCTGGACTGCCCAGACTCCCGGGGGCCTTGCTGTCCTTGGGGCCAGATGCCCCTCCCAGCAGCTATTAGTGGGAACCCGGCCTGTGTACTTTTTAGGCAAGAGTATGGCTCTACACCATAGCCCTGTGTGATTTGTTTGAAAAACACCTCCTCCAAATAGCAGATTAATGGATTTTAGATTTATTGTTGGGTTTCCCTGATGGCTCAGATGATAAAGAATCTGCCGGCAATGCAGGAGACCCAGGTTTGATCTCTTGAGTTGGAAAGATCCCTGAAGAAGGGAATGGCTACCCACTCCAGTATTCTTGCCTGAAGAATCCCACGGACAGAGAAGCCTGGTAGGCTACAGTCCATGGGGTCTCAGAGTTGGACACGACTGACTGAAAGGACATCACCTACTTGCCCAGTCCATTCTTATTTTCAGAAATGAGCCTGTATGGGTCAGACAGGACCACCGTAAAAAAAAATAGACATATGTGTTTGTTTATGTGGCTGCGTCGGGTCTTACTTGCGGCAGGTGGGATCTTCGCTGTGGCCCTCCGACTCTCTGACTGTATTGCTCTGCCTCCAGAGCCTGGGCGCTCAGTAATTTTGGCTCGGACTGAGTTGCTCCATGGCATGTGGGATCTCCGTTCCCTGGTCAGAGTTCAAACCTGTCTTCCCTGCACTGCACAAGGCAGATTCTTAACCACTGGACCATCAGGGAAGCCCCAGGGCCACCTTTTTATGCTGTGTTCTGTAATCTGGACATAGGTGTCTGGAAATCTTGGAGTGATTTGAGAGAATGATCTCTGCTTATGAGCTTCCTATTCTCCACACCGCACTCCGCCGCCCCCCCCACCCCCCACCAATTGCCCCTTCAATTTGTCTCTTTCTTGTGATTAACAGCTAAAATACTAATGCCTTCCTGGTGGGGTTTCAGGCCTGTCCCTCGTTCAGTATTTAGTAAGTGCTTGCTGTGTGCCAGGTGATGGGAAGAGAGTTCCCAGGAGGAATGTGTTCCATCTTTGAAGCAGCCTGCAGCTGAGTGGGAGAGACAGCCATCCTATAAACAAATCAGTGCAGTAAAACATGGTTAGGCTGTGACCACAAGATTGTCCAAAATCCTGGATGCCCAGGGATGGCAGGGGTCAGGTGTGTCTGGGGCCATGGATAGGAGGGCCTTGGATGATGACGTGGGATCGAGTCTCGAAGTCAAGATAGTCATCTGTAGTTACTAAGCTGTATCAATAGAGCTTTTTGTATTTGTCTCCCCGCCTTAGGTAAATATTGACCCACTCCTGAGGTGGTGGCCATCTAGGCCTCTGGTTGAATTTTCATAGCCAATCCACAGCACTGCTCAGACCATGAATTTGGAATAATCCCTGATCCTTACCCTCCCCATTCCCAGGCCCTGATGCCTTTCTTCATGGAGCACATTCATTCTAGATCTGCACTGTCCAGTTTGTTGTTGTTCAGTCGCTCCGTCGTGTTCGATTCTCTGTG